TACTAATAATAATAATAATAAAAATATATATGTATATATTTATACATATATACCCACACACATATAAGTCTATGTGTGTGTAAACCGTTTCTTAGCTTTTCATAATAGACATACCTTGTCATTTTGGTACTTGAGTCAGTTTCTTTTGTGATATAAAGACAGTAAGAAAGCTGCCAGAACACATGGACATTACCAAGGAACTAGGAAGCAAGAGCTGAAGAGACAAGAACTCTCCTCCTCCAGCGCTGACAGAACCTTTACTGCTAAAAGATAGATTTGTATTTGTTAAAGGCATCCACTTGTATTTCTGCTACAGTAGCACTAGATGACTTAGACAGTTTTGTTGTTAGGTGCCATTGAGTAAGTAACAACTTACAGCAATCCTGTGAAGAACAAATTTGAACTTTGCTCTGTCCTACACCATCCTTCCCATCATTGACATCATTGAGTCTATTGTTATGGTTAGTGTGTCAGTATATCTTGCTGAGGGTTTTTCCTTCTCTTTCCCCAACATGATATCTTTTTCCCAGGGCTGGTCCTTTCTAACATCGTGCCCAAAGTATGTGAAATGAGGTTGTCTCTAAGGAGCATCGTTGTCTCTACGGAGCACTCTAGTTACTCCTTAAAGATAGATCTTAAGACAACATGAGTCAAGAATTCCAGCACTGAAGCACTACTGTCCTCTAAGGAAGATCAAACATCATCCTTTTACATTTTAGAAAACTGATGCTCAGATTCATTCATTCAGTGATGAATATTTCTTGACTTCACCCCAAGAAGAGGCACCATGCTAGTTAGTGGGGCTAAAGTAGGAAGGAAACAGAAGGGACAAAAATCTCAGCCTGCATGGATCTTATGTTCTAGGGATAGAGATGGAATAAGATGAGTAAACAGAGAGGAATGTCACCATTACATGCCAAGGAGGAAGAAAAATCGGGAGAAGGACGGGAGCCATGGTGTGAGAGAAGGTGGCGTTGATGTGGTACACTTTCTTTTTTTTAAATACTCTAACTATGCGTCACCAAAAACACATAAACCAAACTAAAGAAGTGTTTTTGGTTTATTAAATTAGTCACATGTAAGGGAGCTCTGGTGGCCTAGTGGCAAGACGCTGCACTGTAATCCCAGAGGTACACGGTTCAAATCCACCAGATGTTCTGCTGGAGAAGGAGGGGCAGTCTCCTCCTGTACCAGTCAGATCTGATTTGACGGTACACGTAAAAATAATATAATAAAAATTAAAAAAAAATTAGTCACATGTTACTTTTACTGGAAGAAGCTTTGAGACAAGCATCCATAGTTCTTAAACTCTGTATACTAAAGAGACTGAGACATGAAGATAAAAACAGTTTTTAAACTGTTTTTTAGATACTGAAAGCTCCAACTGCATAAATCCAAACTGCGTCATTAGCAAAAAAAGTCTGCATCATCTTGTTTCCTCTGACAGGATACAAGACAAACACTTGATTTGCCTGAATTCCTTTGCTCCACTTGAATGAGGGGAATACTTTCTTAGAAGGTGGCATAAAGAAATAAACAAAAAGATTTTTTTTAAAGCAACAATAGCCAAGAAATAAAGAAAAAATTATGTGTGGAACTGGAGAGGGAGGGTCCTAAGAGATAAATATTTATTTTACTCTCAGAGAACTCAGTTGCGTGTTTAAGAAGAGTATGATAAAAATACAGGAAAATAAAGTAACACTTGACTAAATGCCTGGAGGCAGTGGGGAAAAAAAAATCTTGTTTTTCTTTCTTCTGAGGAAGGAACATTCTAGTTGCATGGGAGAAAAGTGTGAGACCTGAGTAGTCGTATGACTGGCGTATTTGAGGACCAGCGGGTGAGGACGCTGTGTGGATGGAGGAGGGTGGAGGCAGGAGATAAAGGCGGTGAGGAGGTGGGTCGGAGGTGGTGGGCGAGGGGGTCACGTGCAGGGAATGACACCCAGGCACCACGATGTAAAAAGGCCTGACAAGATGGGTAGGTGCAGACTCTAATGTTATTGTCTTTTCATCTGGAAGTAGAGAGCAGGGCCAGAAGCAGAACAAGCAACAGGGAAGGCTTTGGCAGTAACCCCAAGGTGGGTGTGTGTGAGTGATGGTGGTTTGTACCAAGGGGGTGACAAGTAGTTGAACTCAACAGTCGATATAGTTGAGCAAATGAACTATTTTTGTCAAAGCCATTCTGTGCCTTGCTGGCCACACGTTTCACAGTAGAACTATGCTCTGTAGCATTTTCTTTTTTTTTAAAAAAAAATATTGTTTTTGAGCATATGTTGTTGTTCTAGAATGCTAATCTTCCAGTGGGTTTCAGAGACTGACTATAAATAGAACAGGAAGAGATTTCACATCTTTCTATTGAAGATCAGGTGGTGGATTTGAACCCCTTGTCTTTGAGTTGGCACTGCAACTCCTTACCCACTGTGCCGTGAAAGCTAGACCAATTCAACAGTTTCTACAGCGTGAGTCAGCAACATTGTTCACACTCTCCATGCAGTTATTCCTCCTTCGTTAATCTAAACTCTTTGTCCCAAAAATCCTATCAGATCTTTTGAGTTGCTGTTGTCACCTTGATCCCATAGAAATAGTTTTTAGAAGAGCATAATGCTCAAGGCTGACATTTTTCTTACTTGAAATTAACTATGGTTTGGGTCAAAAGTTTTTAATATCTCTGCCATGAATAGTTTGCCTACAAATTTTTAAAGTTTTGTTTGTTTTGTAATTGAAGATATACACACAGCAAAGCATAATCAATTCAACAATCTTTATAAACTCCTAAGTATTTTAAAGGTAGAACTGACAAATTGCATGGGAGACATGAAGGAGGGAGCAAGGATGAGTTCTAGACTTTTGGCCCGAGTCACTGGGCAGGCAGGAGCACACTCATGGGGAATACTGGCGTGAAGGTTCCACCAAGTAGACCACTGGAGACTGGGTAAGGAGTTGTGCTGCCAATTCAAAGGCAAGCGTTTCAAGTCCAACAGTGATGTTCCTCCCAGAGACACAGGTCTAGGATTAAAAACTCTGGCACAGGCTGAGAGGACAAGGGAAGGTAGAGGTTGGGGCGGGGGCATAGAGACCACTGGGCAGGTGTACTGACCTGGATGCTAAGGGCAAAAATGGAAGAGAGTGATGGCCATGGCCAGTCTGTCCTGTGAGATGAAGACTTTGAATAGTTGATAGCATAGTTTGTAGTGAGTTGCACTGCTAATCCAAAGGCTGCACATCTCCACTAGCTTGAATCCATCAGTGGTTTGGCAGGAGTAAAATGGAAAATCTTCTCCTATTGGAATTTATAGGCTCAAAAACTTGATGGAGGTTTGCTGTGATGAGATCCAACTCGATCATAGTGAATTTAAGTTCTCTCAAGTGGTCCTCGGACCCCTGGGAAGCTCTGAGAGTCTTGGGGCTTTATAAAGCCAACACTGTTTTCATAATCTTTTATTCTCATTGCTGCCAAGTGGGAACCGATTCATAGCTGACCTCCAGCATGTTTTTAGAGGCTGCAAATCACACAGGAGGAGTTTGCCCATCTTTCTTTTCTTTTTTTTTTTTAGCAAGAGAAAGAAGCTAAGGTTTATTACACGTTCATAACAGACTATGAACAGGTCAGGACAGACTGACCCAACTTTTTTTTTAAGGAGCAGCTGTGTGCCTTTGGATTAGCAGTGCAACTCTACCCATCAGGCCATACCACTCTTTATTTGATTTTTCACTCTGCACCAAAGAAATGTGTCAGCATCTTAGCCTGAACCACAGGGGAGCCTCCACACTGTGTTGTTTGTAGCCACCAAATTGTCCCCCATCACATGCTCACAGTCAGAAGAAAAGGAACGTCACATTTCTCTTCACAGCATCCTTGGCATAGCTGTAGAAATCGCTGTGTGTGTTTTTTTTTTTATTTTTGTTGTTTGGCAGATATCTTTATGGTACTATGTGTGATGACATGGAATGCTCTCTTAAAAACAGTTTTGCTGCGTGTTGTTTTTATGTATTCTTGAGTTGGAACTGAACCATAGCTGAGCCTTTAGTGGGTTTTCAGAGGCTATAAATTGAATGGAAGGAAATTGCCCATCTTTCTGCCTCCGAACAGCTGGTGGATTCGAACCACGTAACTTTGGGCACTGAAGAAAAGAAAAAAACAAAACACCCACAATCCCACCAGACCCTTATGTGTTAGAATTATGGACTGAATTAGTTGGTTTTTTTAATAAAAAAAGATTACCATTTTCACTTAAAAGAAACAAGACAAAGGGAAATAATTTAATCTGACTATTTGGCAGATCCATTCTTGAAAATTAATGAAATGTGCCTGTTCCTTCAAGGAAAACAACTGACAGCTTCTGTTGCCAATGATAAAATACAAGCTTTTAAAGTGAAAATGAATGTTTTGGATTACTTCTATCCCCTCTCCCCGAGCATGACAGCATCCCAGTACTTAAAGGCCTGTCGCCTGAGCCTAGTGGTGACATTAACAAATATGATTTTTTTGGATGCAGTATAATGAAATGTGTCAACAGTTGGAATAGCTGCATAATTGAATGAAGCAGTACTTTCCAAATGACAAAGTAGGAAGTTGTAGAAAATCACCTGTGAGCGTGAGATTGACTCAGAGGGGAAGAGACTTCAGCTTCAGCTAAGACGGGGAGACAGGGAGTGGATTTACCCTCCTGCCTGAAACAACCCCAAAGCAAACAGATCAAATGACAAAACAGTGGACATCAGGTGACAAGGGAGAGTGAGCCCTACGCTTGCCCCAACATACAATTCCAAGAGCATTTCCTCTAGATTTGGACCTATATTCCTCCAAGGTGAGCCAAGACCTATTCAAGTGAGAAAGACAGACAAACTCTGTGTTGGAAGTAGCGTGGCCACAGTTGCTTGGCCATGTGTGCCTTTTCTTGTTTCTGTCTCTTTAAGCTCAGCGTTAAGCTTGGGCTCAGTTCCCCTATCTTCTTAGCAGATCTTCGTTCCCTAAACCCGTGCTTGTCATTGTCTTACAGCTTTGTGGTGATGACATGGCATCTGCCAGCTCCAGCCGGGCAGGAGTGGCCCTACCTTTTGAGAAGTCCCAGCTCACTGTGAAAGGTGAGTATCACTGTGTGACAGGTTTACCATTGGAGGTCTCAGCCTGATCTCTGGGGACAAGGTGAAATTATGCAACCCTTGGTCTGGAGTGCCAAATTTTGGGAAATAGTTTAAGGGTATAACTGTTTTGTTTCCATTTCATTGTTAGGCGCTTTTGAGTGGCTTTGCACCTTCTAGTGACCCTGTATAACAGAGTAGGACTGCTGCAAAAAGTCAGCACTTGGAATCCATGGGAGAAAGATGTACCCTTCTGCTTCTGAAAAAAAGCTGCCCGTGGGGCAGCTCTCTGCGTCCGATAGAATTGCTATGAGTCAGAGCCAACTTGACGACAACAGGTCGTGTTTATGAAGCAGCCTGCCAGACCCTTCTCCTTTGATGTCGCTGGCTAGGTCCTAAACCATCAACCTTTTAGTTACCTGTTGAATGCTTAACTGTTGTGCTGCCAAGGTCTCTTATTCATTCCTGTGTTGTAGTTATGTGCCATTAAGTTGGAATAGACTCAGAGCTGGCCTTCCAACAGCTTTTTAGAAGCAGTAAATCACACAGGTGGAGATCGCCCATCTTTCTCCCACATAGCAGCTGGACGATTCAAACTGCCTGCCTTGGGATTGGCAGTACGTTCCTTACCACTAAGCTATCAGACTCCTGTTTATTCCCATATTGTTGTTGTGTACCACTGAGTTGAAACTGGACCATAGCAGACACTCCAGCAAGTTTTCATAGGAAGTTAATTGCACAGGAGGAGATTGCCCATTTTTCTCCCCTAAGGTACCTGGTGGATTCCAGCCGTGTACCTTTGGCTTGACAGTGCAGCTCCTTACCACTGAGCCATTAGAGCTCCCTATTCATTCCCATAGTATTATATTGATGAAGAAGGAGAAAGGAGAACTTTTGTGTAAAATTATCTGCAACAGTGATTCATGCCCCAGGGCTGAGCATTCTCTCCTGGTTGATGGCATCCAGTCTCATAGCTTCCCATTGTATTGGTGGGCAGATCACACTCAGGGTTCTCTCTGGCGGGGATCTGTCCTCTGAATTCCAGATTTGTGTATCCAGCAACTATCTGGTCATTTCTACTTGACTATTTGGGAAAATGACTAAAATTTGTTTGAATTTGAGCTTTTGCCCCTTCCTTCACATCCTCTGTCTAACCCACAAGCAAATTTGGCTTGCTCTGTCATCACGGGGTATCCTGCATTCAGCCTCTTCTCCCCAAGACTTCTGCAGTCTTGTCTAAACCGCAGTCATCTCTAATCTAGATTAAGGCAGTCGCCTCCTACCTGGTTTGTGCCCTTTGCCCTCCTTTGACCTGTTGACCACAAAGCAGCCAGTAGTCATCTCATTCTGCTCCTAGCTATCACTGTATTCTGTCTCGCTCAGTAAAAGAGCTGAAGGTCCCACACGACAAGACCTTTCACTCCTCATCTGTCACTGTCTTTCCACATTTGCTCTGTGGGAAGGAACCCTGTGGCACAGTGGCTAAGGAGCTGAACTGTTAAACAGAAGGTTTCTCCTCAGGAGAAATATAAGGCACTGCTTTCAGAAAGACTTGGAGTCTTGGAAACCCTGTGGGCAGTTCTAGTCCACCATCAGGGTTTGCTCTGAGTCAGAACTGACTCGATGACAGCGAGTATGTGACTGCCCACTCACTTCCCTGCACAGCCTCCAGCCCTGGGGCCTTTGCACATGCTTTCCCTCTGATCCTTACACCTTGTCATCTGAGGGCTGAATTGTGTCTCTGAACACATTTTATTAGGATTGTTTTTGGTCTATTATTGTTTCTCATTTGCTTACTGCAGTCATATTGTTTAAAAGTCTTGCCTTGGTTAGAGCCATCAGTAGTCCAGCTTGGAGGAAACTAGTAGTATACATTTCTTCTGTGCCCCTTCCATGATGTTTTATGTCTATACCAGCACACAAGGAGCCGTAGTGGTCTAGTGGCAAGAAGTTGCATTGCAATCCTGACAGCACGCAGTTCGAAACCACCAGCTGCTCTGCAGGAGAAGGATGGGCAGTCTCCTCCCATGCAATTGACTGCCTCTGAAAACCCCCTAGAGGGTCAGCTATGGGCCAGTTTAGACTCAGTGGTCCACAACAGCAACATCAACAACAACAACAACAACCAGCACTTAAGTGCACAGGCGAGCCTCCTAGACACTGTGGGTTCGATTGCAGACCACTTCAGTAAAGTGAGGATTCCAATGAAGCAAGTCAAGTGGATTTTTTGGTTTCCCAGCCTTTTGTTCATAGGGTTGCTATGAGTCGTGTTCGACTCGAAGGCAGTCAATAACAACTACAATGCATAAAGAAATTGTAGAGGGAATTCTGGTGGCAAGAAGCTGCACTGCAACCTCAAAGGCAAATCCACCAGATGCTCTGCTGAAGAAGGAGGAGCAAGCTCTCCTGTGCCATTTGGATCCGATTCAACAGCACACAAGTTTAAAAAAAAAAAAGAGACGAAGTCGCATTTTCCTTACTTCTAATGTATACACTGGCTGCACTTGTTCTAAGACAGGTTTGTTTGTTCTTTTAGCAGTCCATAGTATATTCATTTTTCTTTGCCAACACCATAATTCAAAGACCTCAGTTCTTCTGCCTCATTGTTCATCACTCAACTTTGTGTGTATGGAGTAGTCGGGTCAGGCATACCTTAGTCCCCAAAGTGACATTTGTGTTCTCTAGTACTTTAAAGAGGTCTTTTGCAGGAGGTTTTGCCAGTATAATATATCATTTGATTTCTTGACTGCTACCTCTATCGACATTGTTGATTCTTGAAAAATGAGGTCCTTAATCCTTCAATCTGTTTTCCCCATTTATTCTTTATTTTTTCTACATTTATCATATTGTTTCAATAAACATATCCTGTTATGAGAATTTTTGTTTGCTTTGTGTTGCGATGTAATACATACCAAAGGCCACACTTTTTGATCTTCATCAGTAAGTGCTTCAAATCTTTTTTTTTTGTTTTCAGAAAGCAAAGATGTGGTATCCACTTCTAAACAACGTGCCTCTGGAAACTCTATGATCTTTGATAAATGACGATAGTTATAGAAAAGCTTCAGGCCTTTTGTTCATAGGGTCGCTATGAGCCATGCTCACTCGACGGCAGTCAACAAAAACAACAAAGCAAAGCAGTGTCATCTGCGTCTTACGGATTATGAAAGAGTTTTCCCTTAATCCTAATTCCACATTCTTCTTAATGTAGTCCAGCCTCTCAGATTATTTGCTCAGCATAGAGCTTGAATAAACATGGTGAAAGGATATAAACCTAATACGTATCTTATTCCAAGTTGTAAATTATGCTATTCTCTTGTTCAAACAACTATTTCTTAGCCTGTGTAGAGGTTCTACATGAGCAAAATTAGGTGACACATAATTTTGGAATTCCCTTGGTAACTTTATGTATAGTATGTTATTTGTTGTTGTTAGGTGTCACTAAGTATGACTAATAACAACTCTATGAACAACACATCTGAACCTTGTTCTATCCTGTTCTGTCCTCATTGAGCCCATTACTGCAGTCACGGTGTCAATCCACTTCATTGAGGGTCTTCCTTTCTTTCGCTCGCCCAGAGTATATAAGGTGAAGCTTTGCCATCCTTGCCTCTAAAAAGAGCACTCTGGCTACACTTTCCCCAAGATATATCTATTTGTTTTTTCACAGTTCACAGGATATTCAGTATTCTTCTCTAACACCGAAGCTCAAAGACATTAATTCTTCTTTAATTCTTATTCATTGTCCAGCTCTCAGATGTGTAGTAAGTGACCGAAAACCTTAGTCCTCAAACTGACATTGCTCCTCAGTAATTTGGAGAGATCCCTCCCTGACAGCAGACTTGCTCAATGTACTACATCTCTGATCTCCTAACTGTTGGTACTGAAGATGCTGATTGTGGATCCAAATAAGATGAAAGTATACTATATGAAGATCCACATACTTGAATGCCTTTGCATAATCAGTAAAACACAAGTAAACATGTTTTTGGTATTCTTTGCTTTTAGCCATTGCTGACAACAGCAATGATATCCCTTATTCTGCGTTTCTATACTTTCCAAAGGAATTTTATCCCACAGAATGCAGAAATTGCCAAACAGTATCATCCATATCCCATTCAAGTAAAATCTTGGCTTTTTGAAGATAATAAAACAGAAAATATATTTACAAGGAATTGCCAGAAATTAAAGTGACATGCAGAAAGTGGAGCAAGGGGTCCATTGTATGGATGTGCAAACATTTTGGTAACAATTTATCTGTTGGGAGCTCTGGTGATGTGTTCTGTGGGGAGTTTCACTGCTGACCCAAAGGCTGCACTTCTCTCGTAGTTCCGGTCCACAAACAGCTCCTAAGAAGAAAGATAGGCTGTCTCTTCCTGTGTGATTCACAGCCTTGGAAATTCACGGGAGGTCAACAATGAGTCAGTTTTGACTCAACAGCAGGGAGTTTGAGTTCTGACACTTTTGAGTTGTGGTGTTGGAGAAGAGTACTAATATCTCATCTTCTGCTAAAGGATTGCTAAAAGAACAGATGAGTCTTGGAGAAAGTGCAGCCGGAGTACTCCTTAGAGGCAAGGGCGGCAAAGCTCCATCTCACATACTTTGGGCATGTTGCTAGGTGAGGCCATTCCTTGGAAATCATTCTTCGAAAGGTGGAGGGGTCAGCAAAAGAGAGGAAGACCCTCAGTGAAATGGATTGCAGTGACTGTAGCAATGAGCGCAAGTATGTCAGAGAGGATGAAGCTGGAACAGTATAGGACAGGGTTCAGATCTGTTGTCTGTAGGACTGCTGTGAATCATACCCGACTTGACAGCACCTTAGAACATTGATGATCAAGGCAAACAGAAGAATGATGACGAATCTTGACATGCACTGTATTGCATCCATGTGAGAAGATTCCTGAGGTAAATGCCTCAAAGTGATAGTGCTGGGTAGGAGGGAATATAATTTTGAGACTCCCATTAGCTGCTTTTGAAGGTGGACATCCTACTAACAGTGTGACTGCCTATTTCCCTATATTTTTACCAGCAAAATGGACTGTCAGACTTTGAAAAAAAAATCTTCTTTTACTACTTTGATTGGTGAAATTGGTTTTCTCTGTGTAGCTTTTATTTTGCATGTCTCTGCAGGTGATTGTTAGCTTCTTATTTATCGAAGGAAAATTTCTGTTTCACTTTTGTGGCTTGCCTGTTCATATCCTTTGCCGGTTTGTTATTGAATTATTGAATTTTCTTTGTAGTATTGAAACATGCTGGATATTTTTCTTGGTTTCAGGGATTTAATATGTGCACAAGTTCTTTTTTGTATCGCAAAGTCCTTGTGGGAACTGATGAGTTTGGGGCTCAGGACTGCACCCTCTACAACCCAACCTAACACTAACCTAATAATTGGGTCACAGGAGAAGTGTTCCCATGGAGCCAGGTATCATGTCGAGGTCCCTATTTTGAGATCACATTATTCAGGGGCACACACTAGCTTCTGAAGATTTCTCTGGTGTGTTTCTTCAATGTGAATTTTCTTATTAGTTCCGAAAGAGTTACCTTGGTAATGTAATGGCAACCAGTTCTGTATGCAGTTGACTCATTACTTGCTTGAGTTCTCTGTATTATTTACATTCAGTAAGATCATCCTGGTAAAGGACAGAGTTTGGGAGAAAGAATTTCAGTATTATGTCTGAATCTTCCTCCTAGCATTTTTTTCCATGTAGTATCATCTCACAGATGTTACTGGCAGGTTCTGCCTTTTGAAAGAATCCACTTAGAAGAACAGCACAGTGATACTTGTTGTTAAGTGCCATCAAGTCAGCTCTGACCCACTGAGGTCCTGTGCACAACAGAATGACAGTCTTGTGCCATCCTCGCTGCCATTATTGTGTTTGAGTCGATTGTTACAGCCTCTTTATCAGTCTGTCTTACTTTACTGATGGTCTTCTTTCCCCTGACCAAGCATCATGTCCTAAGTTCTTGGTACTTTTAAATGAAGAGTCTTCATGCAGCACTGCTCTCCCACCACCAGATGGCCTCAGTTGACTTTGGACACTTGTATTTCATTTTCCCCCTGTAGGTCCGGTACAGCATACTATACAGGGAATGAAAAATAGAGTAAGAATGGTTTTGCACTGATAGTTAAAAAGTTTTCACTCATAGTTTTGGGTCTTTTCCTGAAGTACAACATAGTGAGTGACAGAATAGTATCTCTACACCTGCAAGGAAACATTGTTAATCGACTATTGTTCAAATATATATACCAACAGCTAAAGCCAAAGAGGAAGAAATTGAACGTTTTTATCAAATTTTGGAGTCCAGGATTGACCAAACATGCAATCAAGATGTGTTACTGATAAATGGTTATTGGAATGCAAAAGTTGGAAACAATGAAGAAGGAAGGGTAGATGGAAAGTACAGATTTGGTGGAAAATAAAGAAGATCCAGGAATACAGCTTTCAGTATGGATTGCAACTCAACATCAAAAAAACAAAGATTCTTACTATTGAACCTATAGGCAACATCATGATAGATGGAGAAATAACTGAAACTGTCCACAACGTCAATCTTACTTGGATCCACCAAGTACACTTGGTACCAACAGTCAGGAAATCAGGAGACATATTGCACTGGAAAGCCTGTAGTCAGGGTCCTCTCAATACTATTGAGAAGCAGTGATGTCAGTTTGAGGACGAAGATGCACCTGATTCAGGCCATGGTCTTTCTAGTCATTTGCTAGTGTTGCTGTGAACTGGACAGTGAATAAGGATAACAGAAGCAGAATTGATGCCTTTGAGCTGTGGTACTGGAGAAGAGTACTGAATATTCCATGGACTACCAGAAGAACAAACTGATATGTCTCAGAGAAAGTGCAGCCAGAGTGTACCTTGGAGTCAAAGATGACAAAGCTTCATCACACATTCTTTGGGCATGTTGCTAAGAAAGTACTTGGAAAGGTGGAGGGATGGAGAAGAAGAGGAAGATCCTTAGCCTGGTAGATTGACTCAGTGACTGCAGTAATGGGCTGGAAGATTTTGAGAATGACACAGGATAGGACAGTGTTCAGATCTTTTGTTCGTAAGGTCACTATGAGTCATACCCAATTCAGTGGCACCTAATAACAACAACAACCAGAGTGTCACAGACTTCTCTTTCTTGTACCATCCCAATGCTTCTACGTCTTGCTGTTGTTAGATACCATTGAGTAAGCTACAACGCCTAGTGAGCCTGTGAATGGCAGATCTAAACCTTGCCCTGCCCTGCACTATCCTCAATCCTCACGATTTCTGTCATACTTGACTGTGGTAGTCACTGTGCCAGTCTCTCATGTTGAGTACCTTCTCTTTTTCTAACCCTCCACTTTTCCCAGAATGATGGAGCTTTGTTGGCCTAGTGGATAAAGGTTGCACTGTCAACTCAAATGTGGGTAGTTTGAATTTAACAGCTGCTCTGAAGGAGAAAGATGGGTAGTCTCCTCCTGTGCAATTTACAGGCTCTGAAAATGTGCTGGAGGCGCAGCTATGAATTGGTTCTGATTTGATAGCAGTGAGTAAGTCTCAGCTACAAGTTTTTGCATGCATTTGTTTCTTGATTTCATCTTTTGTTCCTTTGGAGTCTGGAGGAGGTAAATAAATTTCCTAGGACTGGCACTTCCGGAAAGGGTCTGGGAGGCTAGGTTTACTAACTCCTGATGGCAGGGGGCTCAGGCTAGACAGGACTGCCTTCATGAGTCTGGAACGCCTCTAAAATCCTCCAGATTAAGGCATGGGGTGAATGATGGCTGGATGGATTTCATCCTACAGATCTGAAGCTGCCATTGTGTTGTAAGTGGAAACTTGCCTTACTCTGGGCTGTTGGTACTATTATTGTTGTTAGAGGCTGTCAAATTGATTCTCATAGTGACACTCCATGCAGCAGAAGTAAACTCTGTCTGGGCCTACCCTGTCCTCACATCGCTGCTGTGCTTGAACCCATTGCAGCTGCCACTATGTCTGTCAGTCCATCTCATTGAGGGTCTTGGCTCTTTCTCTCTGACCCTCTATTTGACTAGGTATTATGTCCCTCTCCGGAGACTGGCCCTTTCTGACAACATGTCCAAAGTATACAAGGCAAAGGCTTGCTATCCTCTTTTTAAGGAGCATTCTGGGTGCATTTTTCCATGGTATGCACCTGCTTTGTGTCTGCTCTGTGAATCTGTGTCTCAGGAATGCTGCCATATGCAGGGTATGAGGAAAAGCAGATGGCCAGCAAGCACACGGCAGAAGTATCTAGCCTCACTCTAGTAACTGAAAAAAGAAAGAAAGAAAAAAAAGCAAGAGAAAAAACAAGCAGGATATTGTTTACAGCACTGGTTTGGGGCTGGACTGGAGCCTGGTTGCACAGACGCGTAGTGCTCAGATCTCTGTGACAGTGTACTCTGGATAGTGACCTGGCTCCCTCAAGCCTTAGGCTCCTCCAGGGTGAAGTGAGGGTGATGGTAATACTCTGGGCCTCGCTGGTTTATTTTGAGAATTGAAGCAGATAGTGTGTGCACCCCTTAGCATCCATAACAAGTGCTCCTTAAATCTTAGCCATCATTTTTGTACTATTTTTAAAAAACCTGTGCAGCGTGCTGTGAACAAATCTAGTACTCACGGCTCTGTACTGATCAGTAAAATGGTTGTACTCATACAATGTAAATGAGCTTCCATGTGAGTTTTTCCTTCTTGGAAAAGAATGAAGATTTTTTTAAAATTATGTCTGTTAGAGGAATAAATAATCAGAAATACATGCAAATTTATATTCATTGTCATTTTCATTAAGTGAAAAAGTAATGACAGTCAACAATAGAAGAATGATTAGCTCATTTACACCTTCTCCATGCAGTGGGCTTATGTTGCCCAAATCCAAACCACTTGGTGGCTAGTGGCCCTCTAATTGAGGCTGTAACTCTTTAAGGCAGAAAACTGCTTCTCTTTCTCCTGCTCAATGCCTGTGGATTCAAACTGCTGACCTTTTGGTTAGCAGCCTCCTTGGTCTTGTATTAGAGCCATTTTAAAATTGATCTTGCAGGGGGAATTGTTAAGAGAATCATTCGATTGTTCATTGCTGTCTAGTCAAAACCAACTCATTTAGATTTCTAAGGCTGTAAATCCCACAGGAGGAGATTGCCCATCTTTTTCCTATGGAGCCACTGATGGATTTGAACCACCATAGAGGTGTAGCCTTAGTGTTAGCAACTCCCTACCATCTAGGGCCACCAAATTACCTGTTAAGAGTATAGGGAAAATAAAAGGTGAAAATCTAGAAGGAGACTTACTAAAATCTTCCTGCTAGTTAGCTCAGTATTTCCAGGTAAAGAGAGATTTTCCCTACTTATTATTTTTCATATGCTCACTTCCACAATAAACAGTATGGTGGATTAAGGCCCAAAAAAGCCAAGTTTGTTTTTGAAAAGGGACACCTCCACCAAAGAGAGCAGGGGCATCTGCCACAGGGGGGCAGGTGGGAGCTCCGTGCCTCCTTGCTGACTTTTTCTCTCTCTTGATCAGTGGTGTCAGCTAAGCCCAAGGTGCATAATCGCCAGCCTCGAATTAACTCCTTTGTGGAAGTGGCCGTGGATGGGCTTCCCAGCGAGACCAAGAAGACTGGGAAGCGGATTGGGAGCTCGGAGCTTCTCTGGAATGAGATCATCATTCTGTAAGACAGTGCCCCTTCGTTATGAATGCAGCCAAAGGCATAGAGGGAGGGGGGGAGACACCCCAAGGGGGTTGTGGGAGGTACAGGTTTCCTGTATACCCTCCAGCTCTTCTGCCTTTAGTACCCAAAGCACCTCTCTTTAGGTGTTTCTTCATTGAGCTCATAGAGTGCTCATTATTAGCTGGAGGATTGCAGGCTCAGCTCTGTCGGGGAGAAGGTGTGGGTGAGGATCATCTTGTACTCTCCCTACTCCTCCTACCCCCATCCCCCAGCATATCAGCAGTATAGTTTATTTGTTTTCATCCACTTGGAAGTAATGAATCAAGTGTTTGTTTTCCAGGAATGTCACAGCCCAGAGTCATTTAGATCTGAAGGTCTGGAGCTGCCATACCTTGAGAAATGAGCTGCTAGGCACCGCCTCTGTCAACCTCTCCAACGTCCTGAAGAACAATGGGGGCAAAAGTATGTATGAAGGAGGGCCAGCTTTGGTGGTCCTTTGTGGGGGTGAAATTAAGGGGACAGCTCTCAACTCCCCCCTGAGAAACCTGTTGCTGCTTTTCCCCCAGGATTAGGGGCTGCAGTGGACTTACTCCACTTTGATGCTCCACATGGAAATGGAGGGAATCTCTGACCCCTTTCAGCCTCCATATCAGGGCCAGTCCCGTCCTCCCAGGGTCTTGAATGGTGGGGTGCAGCAATGGGCCCCCTTTGATTCTCTGGTCTTTGCTTCTGCCTTTACTTTTCTTCCCATCCCAGGAGGCATGTGGTATGTAGAATTCAACTGTCAGATATCTTCAGTCCAAATCAGTGCCTTTCTAATTGGAGCCCCAGAATAGGACAGAGGAGGGTGGGGGGTGTTGGGTTGGTGTTACATATAGCATCTAGTGCTTAGTAGACACTCAGTAAACATTCACTGGTTGTTGGAATGCGATGGAAGGCCCCTCTTCATTATACATGGTGCCTTCACGGCGTGGAAATAGAAACCCTCTCGTCTCTTTATTGCTGTTTGTGGTCAGTGGCAGAGCCCATGGCTGTGGTATTTGGACCTTCTCACATAAAGGCTCTATTCAGCCAGGGTAGCAACAAATGCAGCAAGTGGACACCACAGAGGGAAAGGGGTCTTTTTTTCTCCTGATGTTGGCTTCTAGAAAACGTTTTCTGAGACAAGAGTGAGCTGGAGACATGTTGGGGAAGTAAAGGTCGGAATGGTTCAGAGAGGCAATGTGTCCACTCAAGCCTGGCCTTTTCTGCTGGGGTGTGCGTCTGACCTGGACTTTTCCTTTTTGCTGGGCAGAGGGAGAGCCTCAGGGGTGGTTTAAAGCCAGAACAGTGCCTCAACTTTAATTCTGCAGGAAACTCCCCTGGAGCTGTTTCCTCTGAGTGGGTCTTTATTTGCCCAAACCTTAGCCTGGCTTCTAGTTTGACTGCAGACACACCTCAATTTATTGCTCTTTGCTTTATTGCACTTCACAAATACTGGGCTTCTGACAAACTCTGTGACCACCCTGGTTCCAAGCAAGTCTTACTGGTGCCATTTTCCCAACAACATGTGCTCACTCCCTGCCTTTATGTCACCTTTTAGTAGTTCTCAAAATATTTGAGTTTTTTTTAAATGATATTGCACCATCATCTAATGTACCCAAAACTTTTATATGCACTAGACAACCAAAAATTTTATGTGGCTCATTTGTACTACAATATTCACTTGATTGCTATGGTCTGGAACTGAACCCAAGGTATGCCAGTATTAAAGAGAATTTTATTTATAACTTTATTTGGAAATGCCCGTTCAGATATTCTTGCTAGAGCACAACAGCCAACAGGAGTGTCCCTTATCTTCTCCATGTGCCCAGTTAACATCATGAGCGCAATTGCAAGAAATCTGGAAGTTACAGGCATGCACACAAACCCCAAAAGAAACTAGAATTCACGGCGAGCACAGTGCCTTGTGATCATTGGTAACATTTGATGCCGACCCTCTGGAGCTTTTTTCCATGTGCTTGCATAAATTAGTATTTAAGATGTGCTGGAAATACAGTTCTGATCATATGTGAACACATCATTTCACAGCATGCTTTTTTCTTTAAAATGATCATTGTAGCTCTGTAATTTTTTAAAAAATTAAATTCTTAACTCTTGTAGTAGTTTTGCATATGGCTATGTAAAAATGTAAAGATTGGACAGTTAGCTATTTCTAGTATTTCTCAGCAATAAATATGATAAATAAGTTTGTGAGTCTAAGTGCCCAACACTTAAAATTTCCTTAGGATAATTATTCACCAAAAACTTGATGGCTTTAAACATTCTCCAAGGTTTTTAATACCTATTGTCGATTTACCCTCAAGAAAAGTTCTATCAGTTTATTGTCCCATCAACAATGACCTGTCACATTGTACTTTGACATATGTTAGATATTGCTTGTGAAAATACTCCTGTTTTATAATAATTAACAATATACCAGATTTGCTTCATCTCTTTTTTTCTGTTCTGTTTAAATTATAGATACATGATATTTTATTCTAGCTACTTTGGTGTACTTTTAAAACGAGTGGTTCTTATATAATTTCCATACTTTATCCCACCTTGTGATCTTAGCACAAATTGTCTATTATCAAACACTCGGTTTACATTCAGTTTCACATTTCATCTCCAAGATATTGTTTTCCAGGTGGTTTTCTTGAACCAGGATTTGGACAAAGTTCACACAATGCATTTGGTTCTTCTGTCCCTAAAGTCTCCCCATGTCACCATGCTTTTTTTTTTTTTTACTATTATGATTTATGATTTGTTGAAGAGGACTGAATGTTCTGTTAATGTTCTTTAAGGCGGCTCTCTCTGGTGGCTTGGTGGTAAGGATATGCACTGCCAACCCAAGGGCATGCGGTTTGAATCTACCAGCTCCTCCACAGGAAAAAGATGGGCAGATTCCTCCTGTGTGATTAACTATCTCTGAAAACCTGTGGGAGGGTCCTCTATGGATTGGCCCTGCCTTAACAGTACATAACGGCAGTCCCCTTTGAGCTCTGGTGACCTAGTGATAAGGAATTGAGCTACCAACCAAAAGACACGTAGTTCAGATCTACCAGTTGGTCCACAGGAGAAATATGGGCTATCTCCTCCCACATGGTTTACAGCTTCTGAAACCCACTGGATGGTCAGCTGTGAGTCAATTCTGCCCCGGCGGCACATAACAACAACAACTATATCCTTTAAAAGAACTCTGGTGCCTAGTGGTAAGGCCTTATGCTGTCAACCCAAAGGCAGGCAGTTCAAATCCACCAGTTGATCCAAAGGGCAGAGTAGGAATCAACTTGATGGCAGTAGTTTATTAATGGCCTTTGCACATTTTCTTATTTAAGTGTATATTTTCTTCCCTTAGTCTTGAAAGAACTTCCTATATTTTAAGTTTTATAATTTAGAAATATTTTTCCAATATTTCATTTGCATTTTAATTTCATTTTATGTGCCTTTTCCTCTTTTTTTCCACACAGATAATTTATACTCTTTGTAGTCAGATCTGCCACCCTTTTATTTGTAACCTTTTTCTTTTATACTTTGAAAGACATTTCCCCATTCTGAGGTCAAGTATCTGTCATCTCTGTATTTTTCTAGTTCTTGGTGATTTTCCTTTTTTCACTCCTAGTTCTTCAGTCAAATGAATTCATTTTTGTGTAACGTGGGGATCTGACCTCATTTCCCGCCTCTAGTTAGCTGAGTGTTTGAGCACCGATTATTGAGCCGTCAATCTGTCTATTCCCCAATGCCGTGAGTTGTCATGGTTAAAACACCAGTATATGTGTTTCTCTTTGGGACCTTTGTTTCATCTGTTGTTTTAGTATCCTTTTTGGATCATTACGTTCTAGTTATATTGACAATACAATTTTATATTCTTTTCCAAATCATCTCACTTCTGTTCATTTTTATCATCCATGAACTTTATTTACTTTTTTTTTTTATGTTCCCTACTCCTCATAAAGGTAGGTTAATCTTGCAGGATTTGGATTGTAACAGTTATTAAAATCCAATACCCATTGTTGTAGGTTCAGTTCTGTCGCATAAACTGTAAAGGTTACAGAACCAGATTCCCACATCTTTCTCCTGTGTGGCTGGTGGGTCTGAACTGCTGATCTTTAGTTGAGAGCCAACTGTCATCACTGCACCATCAAAGCTCTTTATAAACTTATTCTACGTAATGTTAATTTATGGAAAATGTCTGTATGTCCTCTTTCTGCCAAGAGATGTGAAATGTCTCTAAATCTATTAAAATATCTTCAAATTACGCTTATATGAGCTTTATTTTGATTTAAAAAATAGTGTTGAAATTCCTTTTAGTGACATTTTATTGTTTTTGTTGTTGATAACGTTTTCTCATACTTGGTCTTGTTAGTGTATGTTTTAATTGCTCTATGTTTTATTCAGTTTCCTGTTACTTAGGAACTTTTATATTGATTTTCAGTAGTTTTCTTCTGTATTTCATGTATGTGGGTTTTAAGACCAGTAACTACTGGTCCTAGTTATGCTTGTTGTTAGTTGCTTTGTGCACATCTTTCTGCTTTAGGAGTGATGGAGCACTAACAGCAATGTTGTAGTGATTTATCTCTAGGTGGAAGGTGTTAATAACCCGTTTCCTTAGGTTTGAGGTTTTAAAAAATCAAATTAAGTATAGAATTTTATCAAAAGATTTGTGTGTGTGTGCATATGTGTATGTATGTGTGTACACCATCAAATCAGATCTGACTAGTACAGGAGGAGATTGTGCCCCATGCGCCTCTCGGATTGCAGTGCAGCTTCTTGCCACTAAGCCACCAGAGCTCCCTATCAAAAGACTTAAGTTAACCATTGATAAATTGAATAGAATTTTTCTTTCTTTCTACTCATTAATTTCCAAATAGTAACAAGCTTAGAATTTATAGAATGTACCTGATTGCTAATAGTAGATTTTTCCTTGAATATTTTGCTAGAATCACTTGTTAATATTTTAGTTAAAGCTTTTCTGTATGTAGTCATAAGTAAGATTGTTTTGTAGTTGCTACTGTTTTCGTCAGTTTGGAATCAAGTCTAAGTTAACTTTATATAGTAAGTGAAGCTCTTTCCAACTTCTGGAATGCACTCTATAACATGAGAATTGTCTGTTCCCTGAGCACAGGAAAGAGCTCAACCATGAAACCAATGGGGTCTGGCATCCTCCTTTAAAATAATTCTTTGATGACTTTTAAAGTTTTTGCTCCCATATAATTACTGGTTTGTTCAGCTTTTCTGATTCATCTTGAGTCAGTTTTGTTAATTCAAATTTCTGAGAAAATTGTTTCATGAGATTTAAAAATCTATTAATGTAAGGAATAAAAATAGTATTTTCACTTAAGAGATGTTGATTTTTCTTAAAATTTTTTGTTTCTGTATTTTTCTTCAGTTTTTTTCTCTGCTTCCATAATATTTTTTTCTTTCAAATTTTGGTTTTTTTA